ATCTGATTTCGATGCTGCCCATCTGGTGATGTCCAGGTGTAGAGTCGTCTCTTGTGCTGTTGGAAAGGAGTGTTTGTGATGACCAGCTTGTTCTCTTGGCAGAACTCTATTAGCCTTTGCCCTGCTTCATTTTGAACTCCAAGGCCAACCTTGCCAGTTGTTCCTTTTATCTCTTGACTCCCTACTTTAGCGTTCTAATCCCCTATAATGAGAAGAACATCCTTCTTTGGTGTCATTTCTATAAGGTGTTGTAAGTCTTCATAGAACTGGTCAATTTCAGTTTCTTCAGCACCAGTGGTTGGTGCATAAACTTGGATTACTGTGATGTTAAAAGGTCTGCCTTTGATTCGTATCAAGATCTTTCTATCATTTTTGAGATTGCATCCCAGTACAGCTTTCGCCACTCTTTTGTTGACTATGAAGGCCACGCCATTTCTTTTATGGGATTCTTGCCCACAGTTATAGTTATAATGGTCATCCGAACAGAATTCGCCCATTCCCGTCCATTTTAGTTCACTGATGCCCAGGATGTCAATATTTATTCTTGCCATCTCATTTTTGACCATATCCAGCTTACCAAGGTTCATAATTCTTACATTCCAGGTTCCTATGCAATATTTTTCTTTACAGCATTGGACTTTCCTTTCGCTTCCAGGCATATCCACAACTGAGCGTCCTTTCGGCTTTGGCCCAGCCGCTTCATCAGCTCTGAATCTACTTGTACTTGTCCTCCGCTCTTCCTCAGTAGCATGTTGGACGCCTTCCGACCTGAGGGGCTCATCTTCCAGCGTCATAACTTTTATATGCCTGTTGCCTTTGTCCATGGAGTTTTCTTGGCAGGGATACTGGAGTGGCTTGCCGGTTCCTGCTCCAGGTGGATCACGTTTGGTCAAAACTCTCCACTATGACCTGTCCATCTTGGGTGGCCCTGCACGGCATAGCTCATAGCTTCTCTGAGTTATTCAAGCCCCTTCGCCACGGCAAGGCAGTTATCCATGAAGGGGGGGTGACAAGCTAGAAGTGTATAACTTCAGAGGCTGAATCTGAAGAATCCCAGCCTGCACAGTAGTCCCCGCCTCCAGGGCCAGCTGAGCCAGGGCAGGGGCTTGAATCTGAAGGGCCCACACCTGTGCCGGATCCTCAGGAGCAGACACCAGATGAATCCACTCTGGCTCCGGAGGTGATTGAGGACCCGTTGCCTGCAGGTGCTCCTCTCCCAGCCCTGTCAGGGGAAGGTGAGGTTGCCTCTGGGTCCAGTAACCCTCCAGCCTCTCCTGAGCTGCAGAGGCTCAGGGCAGAGAGGTGGAGGGAACTGAGTTCTCTCAGGAGGAGTGCTCACCTTAAGGCCAGGTGAGGCGAGTCACCTGTGGGCCGAGACCACCCTAGGCCCCAGAGGAGATAAAGGCCAGTCAGCCCAGTCCCAGGTTGCAGGAGCAACATTGCTGGAAACCTGTTCCTGCCAGCACCCTGAACTGCTCTTCCGGAGTTCCTGACCACGCCCGGCTCCTTGCCTTGGACCCCGCTTCGCCCTTGACAGACAGCCTCCAGACCCTCGACCCAGGACCGGACTCAGACCACGCCGCACGGTAACCCCCCCGGGACCAGCACAATAACGTTGTATGTGGCATGGAGAAAGTGGACGAGGAAGAGTTTTTCACCCTCTCTCGCAGCACTAGAATTCATGGACACCCAATGTTGGAAGGTTCAGAGACAAAAGAAAGAAATTCCATGGAGGGTAAGGAAATCAGTGACTACCAGACATGGTGGCTATGCTCTGTCTCCACTGCCGGAGGTGGCATGCCTCTGAATATCAATCACTGGGAATCGCAAGCAGGGAGAGTGCTGTTGTGTAAGGTTTAGCTCATGCTCTTCCCGTAGGCATCTGGTTGGCTGCTGTGAGAACAGGACAAGAGGGGCCACTGGCAGTGATGCTTCTGAATACCAGTTGCTGGAAACCACAGGAAGGGAGAGTAGTGCCCTTGTGCTCGGCCTAAAAAGACAAACCAAAACCAATGTCTGTATTTCTCTCTCTCATTTCTTAATCATCTCCTTTTGCTGACTGTTCTGTGCTCGGCTGTTTTGTGAAAAGTGTTGGCCTTTTCTCCCCTTTTCCCACTGACAGGGACACTGCGGTGGCATTCTGTATTAACAAGCGTTCTTCCGTTCAAATTTATTTCAATTAGCTTGGGACAGTAATTCAATCGGGCGGCCCACTGGATCTTTGAAAGACTTGCAATCATGTCAGAGTGGCGACCTCTTTAAAACAAAAACAAGAAGCAAAACTTTGCTTAGCCAAAAGCCACCCCCACCTTTTTGCCCCCCCCCAAAGAAGGCACACTTGAAAAGGAATGCCACTTTGATAATTAGTTATTGATCACGGACAATACATGCGATGAATGCCATTGGATTAACCAGACGCCAGTGGGTCGCGACACAGAGGTTTCCTTATCGCAATAATCTACAGAAAAAGAAACGTACAAGAAAGGTCGCTAAGGTCAGGCCTGGTGGAGCTGGGATTTTGGGAAATAGCTTCCTGCTTGTGCTTGGTGTGCATGTGTTTTAAAGCAACAATGAAGCTGCCAAAGACTGATCCATACAATCAGATTCTGATACCAAGCTGATTGCCAGGTAAGGAGCATTCGAGAAAGAGAACATTTGTACCATGAAGTTATTTTGATAAATTAACCTCCCTTCAGCCAGCATTTTTACCTCACTGCTGTGCCATTAACCTTTCTGCCCTTCTAACGTCCATTAGAAACAATTTGAGAATCCGAGCCCAAGAAGACTGTAACAAATATAGACTTTAAAAGTATAATTGACTTCTTTTTCCCCCTTTTCTTTCTTTCATTCTTTTTTTTATTTTGGAAGGGGCAATTTAAAGGCTGCATAAAAATCACTGCAGATGTGGCCATTTAATGGATAGAGAAATCTGCAAAGAAAGAAAAAATTGATTGCACACTTTAAAAGCCGGGGGGGGGGTAGGGGGGGTTGTATTTCTTTTTTCTCCACTCTTTGGAAGACTTACCACTCCAGAATGTTGCATGGAAGTGCACTTTGGATTATTTCCAGGGCTCATAAGATCCAGGAGCTTCAACATCCACTCAGTTGATGGTCACAGCTTTCAAAGTGGACAGAAGGTCAGCACCCTGGAAGTCTGGAGAAGGACAGAAGCTCAGGGACAGAGCACATGCTTTGCTTAGGAAAGGTCCCAGGTTCAATCCCTGGTGCCTCCAGGCAGTCCTGGGAGATAGTACTTCCTGAAACCCCAGAGAGAACTGGTGCCAGTATATAATACCTGAACTCATGAACACCCAATGAAGCTGAATGGTGGAGGATTGAGTGAAGAGAGTAAAAAAAAAAAAGGTAAAGGACCCCTGGACGGTTCAGTCCAGTCAAAGGCGACTATGGGGTTGTGGTGCTCATCTTGCTTTCAGGCCGGGGGAGCTGGTGTTTGTCCACAGACAGCTTTCTGGGTCATGTGTCCAGCATGACTAAACCACTTCTGGTGCAATGGGACACCGTGATGGAAACCACAGCACACAGAAACACCCTTACCTTCCCACCGCAGGGGTACCTATTTATCTACTTTCATTGGCGTGCTTTTGAAGTGCTAGGTTGGCAGGGGCTGGGACAGAGCAACGGGAGCTCACCCGTTGCGGGGATTCGAACCGCTGGCCTTCTGATTGGCAAGCCCAAGAGGTTCACTTCACACAGTGAACAATTAAGCAGTGGAATTCTTTCCCATGGGAGGCAGTGATGGCCACCAAGCTGGGTGACTTTTTTGAAAAAAAAGATTAGGAAAAGCCCTGGAAGATAAGGATATTGATGGATACTAGCCATGATGGCTATGCACTGTGTCCCTGGTCAGAGACTGTGTGCTTTTGAATAGCAGCTGTTGGAAATCACAGGAGAGGAAAGTGGTAGTTATATACAAAATTGCTGAAGAAATGTGGAGAACTGAATTTAAGACTGGAATGATGAGAAACGGAGAGAAGCTGAAAACTGAGAGAAAACTGGTTTGCCCAGCCCTACATTTAAAAGTGCATTTCAGCAGGCATAGTTTGTCATGCGAGCTGCACCTGCTGGAATTCCTTCTTCTAGTCAATTTCCCGATGTAGATGGACCTTGTACTCTTTTGCAATCTGGCCACTCTAGAGCCCAGAGTCCATATGATACAGCCTGCTGCTGTGGTAGCTGTTGGCCATTGGGACTGGTAGGGCAGAAGGCACAAAGGCCAACAGGTCATGGTGGCAGAACCAATGACAGGCGGTGCCAAACTAATTCTCACTTTGCCCCCATCTTCCTCCCTGCTGAGTTCTGCAATGGCAACACTGAGACTAAGAAGGAGAAAACTGACAGCCAGTGCTACCCCCTGGACTGGGACTGTGTAAGAAGACAGACAAGTGGGGGCTGGCTGAGATTGGTGGAAGGGTGCTCCATTCACCCTAATGGGTTGGCCTCCACAGGCTTGTTTTGTTCAATGACGGTCTGCATGAGTTGGATTCAATGCTTTAGGGTTGGCAGTGGAGTCTTGACCCAAATCCCTGCTCCGTGCATTGACTGCATACACTTAAGTACCACCTGCACAGCTCTCCCTCCCTCCCTCTCCTCTTTCTCTCTCTCATTGTTCCAGTGACAAACATATCCCCTTTCCAACCAAGCCCAAAGCCCAAGCCCAAAGCAATCAGATCTGTCACAGGGTTTGTTTTTAAATTTCTCTGGGCCAAAATGACAGCTCTTCCTCCTCCTTCTCATTCCCCTTGCACATCTGTATGAGCCAGGACAAGCTCCCCACCAAACTGAGGAGACTCGCTTACATTAAATGGCAAGATGGAAGGCAGCGAGGAAACAATAGATGGCTGTCAAGCTCGACAGCAGGCCATGGATCTCTGAGCACAGAGCTGACAGAAAGGCCTCAGAGGGTAAACCTTTTTTGCTGGAACTAATTAAACAGATGAAATTATTACATGGATATGCAGATGTTGTTTACATTTTACCATATGGTATTATTTCAGGTAATGACTCGCAGGAGGATCCCCTTCCTCTCATCAAGAGGAAATGGGATGAAAAGGAGACTTTCGGCATGTCACCTCTCGGTTGCTAGGCAGGCAGCGATAGCAAGTGGCTGTTCGTGGCTTCCTGGAAACCAGCTGGTAGAGCCCATGTGTGGATCTGGGGATGATCAACTCAGAAGAAAGGAGATGAAAGGAGCAGAGTGGTGGGGGAAGTGATCACAAATATACAAAAAGGGTGTCAGGAGAAGAGTGGAATGCTACTTCAACAAATACTCTTGAAGAGCGTAACACAAAATCACTGGTTGAAGTTACACAGGCGCAGACCTCTGCGAATCGTTAGGGGGGAGAAGTTCCTGACTTTCAGCTTGCTGTGATGTCTCCATTGTTGGAGGCAGTGTGCTTCTGAATACCAGTGACTAGAAACTGAAGGAGAGGAGACTCTTGTGCTCAGGTCCTGTTTGCTGGTTTCATATTGAGGCATCTGGTTGGTCACTGTGGTTGGGCTAGATGGACTGCTGACCTGATCCAGCAGAGCTCGTCTTGTGATGCGGAAGCTGGTGGAATGTGCTTACTTAGAAGTATTCAAAGGAAGCTTGGACTTCTGGCTTGGATATTTTCATATCTAATTTCTTTATTTCTTTTAACATTTTTTTAAAATTAAATACATAATAAAACATAAACAAAATCATCCCAGAAACAGGTTAGAAATATCTATCTCATGCGCAAACCAAACTGTTGTGGTCTTGCTCAGTTCCCATTGCCCTGAAGCTTGTGCAGAACCCAGTGATGGAAGGAATGGCAAATTAATGAGAGACAAATTCCTATCATTATGGAGTGGAATTATACAACAAAGTGGCCATCGCTAGAAACATGCCATAAGAAATCGTAGCTGTATCACAGATAGGCAACTGAACAGGATCTCACTTTGTGATCTTAAGGAAGAAGAGGATTTGTTCAGGAAGAGGCCCTCTCTCTCAAACATGCTGGGGTTCTGCAGATCATGTAGGGTTTTAAAGCTAACCAACAACTCACATTTGCCCCACAATTCAATAGACAAGGTATGGCAGGTGCTTCTTTCAATCTGGGGACCACAGTCCCTTATGGGCAACCTTTCAAGAGCTGCATACGAGTGATGAGCAGGACCAAAGCCAGAAAGTGGGTGGGGTCAAAGTCAAAAGTGGGTGGGACAACCAAGGTGACTCTTACTTTTGTAGAGTAGGCTACATGCAAAAGAAAGAAGTTTCTACACCCACATAGTTTTTGCCATCCAGGCAAAGAAGGTATATCACAGTTCAGGGACTCATTTCAATCACATGTGGAGCAGAGCTGTTGAGAAAGACTTTGAGGGCTGCATAGAGAGCCCTGGAGGGCCACTTTTGGCCCCCAGGACTGAAGTTCTCCACCCCACCAACAGGCAGACATGGAGATAAAACAAAAACAGACAAAGAAGGTGTTAGATGTTCCCACCGGCCACCTTCAACAAGCATCACAAGGATAAGCCTTTGCCGAGTTCAAACGTTCATAAAAGCTAATCTAAAATTTAAAAAACACATATATTAAATTAGCCGTGCTCAGATCAACCACTTTCCTGAGAGTGACCCTCAGCATACGCTTTATAATTGAGATCTTGCCAATTTGGCTCCAGAAGGTAAGAATTGACAGTTCTGTCCAAACACGAAGGAGCTGTAATGCTGACATTTCCATGGAGAGCTTGACATGCCGTCGAGCCGGTTAGCATTTACAGCGGCGTGCCAACGTGAAATGTTGATAACGGGAGCTCTCCTTTTCAATAAATTTCCATTCATCATGCTGAAAAGGTTGCTCTCTAGAATTAGAGAGGCATAGGATTATCACAGACAACAATGTGGAAAAAAATCATTAATAACAGGCATTTAAGGGTGGTCAGTCAGTTAGACTCTGACACTACACAATTACCGCCAGGGAATGATCAACGATGCAAATATTAATGGGTGTTTACACTCAAAGCAGAATACAGTGACAGGCTATAGAGCGGCCCCATAGCAGCCTAGTTCTCCCTGAGGTAGTCAGCCTGCGGCTGGGCTCCACAGCTTCAAAGTGGCTCTACCACAAGGGTAGCAGGTTAAGCATCAGCAAGAAAGAAGAAATGCATCACCCCAAAGAAGGTAAAAGGGGACGCTAATTTGCATAAAATCTACATATGTGGATGTTTATGCAAATTTAACACTAACAATGCCTGTACAATGGAGGTAGCAGAGAGTGACTTTGCATAGTGAAGGGGGGGCATTAATGCAACCATACCCTTTTTGAAGCGATCCTTCATATTTTGTGATGTTCTCCTACCAGAACGTGTGCAAGGAAAGCGTATTATTATTGTTATTCTTATTAGTTTTATGAGTTCTATGAGTTCTATGGAATTGTACTGTTAACAACCAAGAGATCTCCCAACGTGGGACAGGATATAAATGGTCCAAAACCAACAAATGAACAAATACAATACTGTGATGAGATGTTCCATGTGTCTGCTCAGTCTACTGTACCAGGTGAAGGTTGATGGTGGGGCAAGCTTTGGTAATATGGCACCCTGACTGAGAAAATCATCTCTCTCTCCCCCCCACAGAATATTTATTTTCACAATAATCCCATTGGGTACAGTTGCTGTTTCGTGCCTCCTCAGGTTGTCACCCTGTGCAGGTGAACCGCCTGCACCACCCTAAATCTGCACCACCCTCTCCAGATGTGGTTGGACTCCAGCTCCCATCAGCCCCAGCCAGCATGCTTGGTGGTCAGGGATAATGGGAGTTGGAGCCCAGCAACAACCCAAGGTCCTCCGAGTCCATACTTAAGATTCCCAGCAACTGATATTCAGAAGCATACATATACTGAAACGGGTTTGTGTGTGTCTTATTTCAGAATGTGGTTCAGTTTGGCTTGTCTGGAGAAGTCAGTGGCAACTTGGGTAAGGAATCTTGGACAAAGTATCCAAACCGAGCCTTGAAGGCATTTACAACTTCACATTCAAAGGAAAAAGCCCTAAAGGAGCTGACAGCATTCTCAACACCAGCAGTCCAGAAACGGGTAATGTTATGCTAGTCCAAATTATGTAACGATTTGTGCTAAAGAGGGAAAATGTGTGCCAGCCCTGGAACACTGCCATCCTGGAAATCCACTGCAATGAATCCTCTCCGGCAGAGCAGCTACGTATGGCTTGTCAGATTTTATTTTCCGCCCCCAGATGTCTTGATAGACAGACACTTTCTTGACTGGAAACTGTGGGAGCAATCCAGACCCATTAAAATCAAATGTGTTGTTTTGTCTTGGACTTTTGGGGCTGGAATGTAGCTTTCTCCTTGGATGTCACTGTTGGACTGAAATACAGACAGAGAGCTGAAACATTTCAGATACAGTTGGTGCAAAATGATGGGGAGGGAGGCTCCTTTCCCACTGCACCACTTGGTCAGAAAAAAGAAGAATCTGGATCAGCCTTTGCCAACCTGGTGCCCTCCAGATGTTTTGGACTACTTATTTACAGTGTTTATTGAATTTACTTCATTCCCTTCCTCCCCAGGGCAGCAAACAGATATGTAATTTAAAAGCAAAAACATTCTCAAACAGATTGAAACATTCTGAGAACAATTACAATTAAAATAACCTAAAAGCAGTTACAGTTAAAAAGCACCCTGAAAGCAATTATAATTAAAAACATACTTCCCTCCAATGATCTTGAGATTGCCAGGAACGGTATATTTCAGCCACCCAATGTCTGGGTAAAAAAGAATGATTACAAATTCTTTCTGAGAGTTGTTAATGATGGAGACAGACACACCTCACTAGGGATGGCATTGCAGAACCAGGGAACCACCACTGAAAAGGCCCTGTCATGGATCACTGCCAATCAGGTAGCTCCTGGGGGTGGCACCACCAAGACTGAAGCTCCCATTAGCCCAAACTTGTAGCCCAAAACATTTGAAAGACACCAGATTGGCGAAGAGTGATCTGGAGGTACATGGAGCCAACAATGGACCTCTCTTGGACACAGGGTCATCTGAAATCTTGCTTAAGGTGGTGTCTGAAGTACATTCAAGGAGTTCTCCCTTATGCAAGACACCTGGGTGACTTTCAGGGAAGCCGGAATAATTTTGATAAGACTTGTGAGAGTTATTGAAAGAGGCTTTGCACATCTCTGGAAATAATCAAACAAGACAGGACAAGGCAAGTGTGCTTTAGAGCTCCTGATTCAACAGTCCATCCGATGGCACAGGAAGCCACTGAGATGATGTCTTCCAAAATGATGAGCCGATTGTTGTGCCACTTTTCATCAATGGAATTGTAATGATAAATTTTGCTTTTTGATATTCAACAATTAGATTTTGGTATAAAATCTGGGCCCCTGATCTTTGTTGGTGCATCGCTATTAGAACTCAGCATGATATTTAATGTTCGGTCTCTTTAGTCAACAAGCCTTAGGACCTGCTGTTGATGATGGACTAGGTTATGCAGCATCCTATATCAGTACAAGGTGAGGTCTCTTTAAATTGAACACATGAATCTACCTTTAAGAAAAGCATTCTTTTCTGAGTTGTAAGCTGGTATTGATGTGCTGGGCCCTCTAAATGCCTCAAGTTGATCACTGCCTTGTCTTAATTGGTAAAAGACTTTGATGTGCTTCTACCCTGCTTTGTACATACTGTACAAAATTAGCTCTGCAAACGCTGACCCATGTAACTGGACTGTGGTGGCCCCTCCAGCTTGGACTCAGAGTCCAGTCCCAGACCAGAATAAACCAAAAATCCACCCACCCCATTTGATCTCCTCCACAACAAAGCCTTGTTTCTTCCTGTCTTAACCTTGACAGGCCACAGGGGAAATAGATGGAAATGGAAGAAAAATTGATTACAGTCTAATGAAACATAAGTTAGCTCTTTCTACTCCGGGAGTAAACATTAACAGCGCAAACACTGTCCTTTTGGTTTTCCTAGGTGCAACCTTGAAAGGTCAAGTGCACACAAAAATTAATATCTGCAAGACACTCGATGGATTTTTTTATGGGGGGGGGACCAAAGCTTTTAATTTTAGCATCAGGAGTTTTGCACACATGGTGATGTGTTGTTGAGTCAATGAGTGTACTGTACGTGTGTGAAGAATATTGCTGTAAACCAGACTAGAAAGGTCTGGGAGAGGATTGGAAGCAATATCTTTCTGGGCAGAAACTGCTTTATTACTGCCGTTCCCCTCCTTCGCTCTCTTGGGCCTGCATTCAGCAGAGACAGGACAAATTGTTAGTCATTTTCAAAGCGTTTGGCAGCCCCCTGCTTCCTGGGAGTTTTTCAGCTGACATCTTTGCTGAAGCGCTGTGCGCAAGGGTCATTGCAAGCTCTGACTCTTAGGCCTAGTTTACTCGGCCTATGTTACAAGTCAAGACCAATATAAATTAAAATCCACAAGCCATACTGTGAAGGCATTCTTTGCTCTCTTGAGGTGCTGCGTGTTGCCTTCCCTACGCACGCATGCCCAGTTTCCTTTCAGCAGCTCTCATAATTTTATCTCCGCAAAAAGTAACACATTGTATGCCTGAGCTAAAGGAGAATGAGGAAGCGGGTGAAGTCGGCTTCCTTTCTTTCCCTCCTTCCCCATAATTTTTAATACTTTTTAAAGGTAAAATTTGTTGACAGTTGAGAAGCTCTGGTGAAATGATAATAATACTAGGGGCTGCTTATCACCTGCAAACAATAGTCCAATGACAGGGTTTGCACTGACTGGAAAAAATGGGAGCCAGAATGGATAGTGACAGTCATGTAGAAAACACGGCTGAAATTGGATCCTAACTTATAAAATCCAGGCTAACCCAATAGGCCCATGCCACTATTATGATATTAATATTGTTCAAAAGTATCAAAGATGGGTTTTAAAAAATAGGATTGTGAACAGAAGAGAGAGCGAGTGTGTGTGTGTGTGTGTGTGTGTGTAGGTGGTGGAATCATTTCTTGTTTGGTTTAGACTCGGCATTGTAGCAATATATTGCTCCCAGCTAGGAATTTGAGATATGAGAAAATAAGAGATATGCTGTGTTTGCACAGCACGTTCCCCCTTGGCTGATTTAATACAATGGTGCTCTAACAGGTATCGGAGAGGAAGAGAAAATAGTACAGGGAAGAGCAGTGCAGGTTGGTCTATTAGTGCAAATGGGGCACTGTTCCACCAACTTCAGTCTACCCTCATCCAACCCCCGCCTGCCCTGCCTTCTTACTTGTGACTAGTCCACTGCCTGCCAGCTCCCTCCTTCTTAGGCTACATTCATACAGTTTTTTCCATTTAACCAACATGGGGTATTATTTTATTTTATGTTATTTTATTTTTATTGCATTTCTTGGTCACATTTTCTACAAAAAGTCCCCCAAATACCCTGCAAGTTTAAAACAGGAAAATCAATAAATGCAACTGCAGCCTCATTTGGGGGACAGGGTGGTGGTGGTGCATGAGATTACAATAAAAAAAATACCTAGCATAACAAAAAATTATAGCGCTGGCCCTTAAAGAAGAGCAACTATGATCAGTTCCAGGCTCCCTCTGATGTGTAGCATCTTGAAATGTAGCAGGATGAAGGGTGGTACACACACATGCACACGTTTAAACCCTCACAACATAAAGGCCCTCCTTTTTAGATTGCAACTTCCTCTGTGCCGGTGCTGTTTTTCTAGAAAAAGAGGTGCTGGAACTCACCATGAATGCCTCCCTTGTTCTTTTATAAAGTTGTACCTTGGTTCTGGAACGTAATCCATTCCGGAAGACTTTTCAACTTCCGAAACGTTCGAAAACCAAGGCACGGCTTCCGATTGGCTGCAGGAGCTTCCTGCACTCAAGCGGAAGCCGCGTTAGACGTTTGGCTTCCTAAAAACTTTGGAAAACCAGAACACTTACTTTCAGGTTTTTGGAGTTCAGGAGCACAAAACGTACAAGTACCAAGGCGTTCAAGAACCAAGGTACAACTGTAATGGCAATGGCACCCACCTGAGAGGTGCCAGAACTGAGTTCCATCTGGGGGGGGGAAAGCCCAGTAACCTGTCTTTTTGCTTGTGAAGTGTAAAGCGCTTTAGTGGCATTATGTATAAAAATATAAAATAATACTAGCCAGTAGAAATTGTCCATGGCAAATGCCAGGAGACTTTCCCTTGGGAGCAATATCCGCAAGATAGGCACCACATCCTCGGAGACACATCTCCTTGCCCATAGATGTATTTTATCCTTAAATGTAGATGAAAAGAAAGAGAATCTACACAGCTCTCACATTTGGTGAGCGTAGGGTTGGTAGGAGCAAGCCATCTATGACAAGTGTGTATGGTTTATGGGAAAGGAGGGTGTGGTGTGTGAGAGAGAGGGTGGGAGACTATATTAGTCTCCCCTAATATAGGTAAATATTAAATATCTAGGGTAGGTGGCTACCCTAAATGGCCTCAGCCCAGTATACCTGAAGGAGTGTCTCCACCCCCGTCATTCAGCCCAGACACTGAGGTCCAGCTCTGAGGGCCTTCTGGCTGTTCCCTTCCTGTGAGAAGTGAGGTTACAGGGAACCAGGCAGAGGGCCTTCTCGGTAGTGGCGCCCACCCTGTGGAATGCCCTCCCTTCAGATGTCAAGGAAATAAACAACTACCTGACTTTTAGAAGACATCTGAAGGCAACCCTGTTTAGGGAAGTTTTTAATGTTTGATGCTTTATCGTGTTTTTAATATTCTGTTGGGAGCCACCCAGAGTGGCTGAGGAAACCCAGTCAGATGGGCGGGGTAATAATTATTATTAGTATTAGTAGTAGTAGTAGTAGTATTATATTACCCTAGATGCAGAAAACAACAACAGAACTTTCAAAAATAACGTGACTCTGTCTGTGCTTGGTATATTTTAATTTGGTCCAGCTTAGCTCCAACTGCTCATTTAGTTTCTCTTGAGGCCATCGTATATCCCAAAACAAGCTAGCACTGCAGCAAGATTCCAGAAAACAAAATTAATGTAGGACACATGACCACTGTCTGACACACACATGCACTCACTTCTCCCACACAAACCACCCACACTTGCTGTGGTTGACTCACTCCTACCCACAATGTATGAACTGAACATGAGTGCAATTCTTCCATTATTAACACATGAGAGGAACTTTAAGACTTTCCTCTTCACCTAGGTATTTGATGAGTGAACAATACTGTGCCTGGACACCTTGAAACCACTAGCTGTGAGATTATGTGGTTGTTTTAAGGAGTTCTTCATGTCCTTAATTGTTTTTAAATTATGTTTTTATTTTGTGTTTAATTGTACTCTTTAAATTTTTGAGTGCTTGCCACCCTGGGCTTCTTTGGGAGGAAGAGCGGGATGCAATTTTTAATAATAATAATAGTTATAATTCTAGTGCTTTTGGGAATGCTGAGCCACTCCCTGTACTCTTCATGGTAGAATTAGGAGAAGTTTGATTTCAAGGTTGGAATGTTAAGAGAAAACAGAGAAGGGAACAGAAATTGCTGATGTTCTCTTATCTGTTCCATGTCGAGAATGGAAACCAATCCAGCAAATATGATTGTTGTAGTTTTCAGTCCTCGAACGATATGTAACTCCTTGCACCCCACCATCCATTTGCATTGAAATGAATGGGGTGGAATAGCACAATGTCAACATAACTTGTGTAATTTATGTAATTAATCACATGCACAAGTTATGTAATTTTGCCAAAGTGGAAAGTAAGCTGAATGGCGTAATTCTTGGTGGAAGATGAACTGTAGTGGAACAGCAACAGTGCTGCAAGCGATGAATGCAGGGTGGAACAGAAAACGATGCCTACTTCAAGGCATATTTTAGAAGTAGAAATAGCCAACAAGCCTAGAGGAGAAGCCACTAACATCTCTGCCGCTGTTTCAGGATCCACCTTGCAGCCTGGACGACAGGCCTTCATTTTGTCAGAGACCTTGAGGTTTGACTTAAGGAGAAGTATGAGCTCAGCTTTTTCATACAAGGGACGCCCTCCCCCAAAACATACACACTCGCTTCATTCTCAAGACGTGATAAAGTAATCTACAGCTGGAGCCAGCTTCCAAGTCAAGGCCTAAAGGGATTTGATTCAGTGTCAAAACCTTTGCCTTGCGAGGTCACTCTTTCTTCTGGCTTGCCTGAGAACAAAAGCAGGAGTGTTTGCATTGTTGTTATTGTTGTTGTTGTTGTTGTTGCTGCTGCTGCTGCTGCTGCTGCTGTTCTCCTCCCTCTCTCCTTTTCTCTCCCCCCCCCCCCGGTCTTTGCAATAAAAGGCTCCTGAAATATTTTTTCACTAGACAGAGAAACCTCTGAAGTAAGCCACGCCTATGCAAGGAAAGGGGAAAAGAAAAGGGGAGAAAAGGGGAGAAGGAAGTGGGGGGGGGAGAGACCCGCTGAGGCTCTCTCCAGAAAGTTGCCTGATTGAAATCAGCCCTATGTCTGGGGCTGTCATATCTCGGAAAAGACATAAAACACGCAGAAACATCAATAAGCAACAAGACTCTGACAGCTCGGAGACATTCCAGATGACAAGAAGAGAAAGGGGGTAAGGTTAAGGCTCTAGGGGAATATTTAAAATGCCTAACAGCCCGTTGAAGTGTTGGCAGGCATCAGGGAGACCCAGAAAAGACAAGATAAAGTCTATCAGGTTATCACCTGGTTCAAGACAGATCCCTCACAGCACGACCATGAGAATGAGACAATGGACATAACGGCCTTCCCACACACATCACACACCACATTCGCCTCCTTTTCCCCATCACACACACACAAATACAGTATTTCTTTCAAAATGTAGCTAAGAAACAGGTTTGCATTTTACACGGAGGTTACCCAGACAACGTTTTACATGGTAGCTTTTTTTTTGTTACAAAAAAAAATTAAAAAGAGGGAGAAGGAAAAGCGAGGGGGGGGGGGACACACAAACAAAATGTAAGACAGAAGGAGCCGGGAAAAGGGGAGGGAGAATTCTGTGAGAATTCTGCTTCCAGCTAACATGTACAGAAATCAAAAAGGATTAACAAGGTTTTTCCCCCCTTCATTTAATTTCCTGTACACCAGCAGCTTTTGTTAAAAGATCAGAGATATTGCTATTTATTGAATTTTTAATATGATCTTTATTAAAAGGCGGCTCACATGTTTGGGTTTCTTCCCCCTCCCTCCCCCCCCTCTTTTTTTAAAAAAAAAACATGCATAGATATAACAATCAAAGCTGAGGAATGAACTATGCCTGTTTGATTTCATTCCCTTTATATTGTTATGGTGATTTGGATACTTATTTAATTCTTTTTTTAAAATATATATATATGCAAAAATAAAAGCAGCCTACAGATAAACGATCTTGAGATCAAGCCGCCTTTATTTTGCTGAGTAAACAATGGCCGCTGAGCTTAACCTTGAAATACGGCAGTACAACTGGGGATCGACCGGGCCAAAGAAAACCCGCCCGCCACAGAATATCACCTGCTGGGTGCTAATGAAAAGCCACCCAGGCAGGCTACAAAAACAGGAGACTTATTATGCCCATGCTGGGCAGCCTGCCTGCGTCTGGTGAGTTGTGGGTTGTTTCACTGGTGTGGTAGCGCAAGAGGGATGGCCATAGCTCAGTTGGCTGAGCATCTGCTTTGCATGCAGGAAGTCCTGGGTTCAATCCTCAGCAGGGTTCAATCCTGGCACTCCAGAGAATATCCCCCAGCCTGAAACCACAGAGAGCCACTGCTAGTCGGCGTAGAGAACAAAGAGGTCAGCCCGTGTTCTAGCATGGCGTACACACAGTTTTCCTATGTTCCTATGTGTTGCCCAGGACTGCTTTAAAGGGACCAGCTCACTACTTAGTCCCCAGTACAGTTTCAGCTCGTGCCTAAGGGGACTGGTAGGGTGAAAGGCAGGGAGGCCAGCAGTAGGGGGAGCCAGAGACAATGGCAGGCAGAGCTAACTAATTTTGTCCTCCTCCTCCCTGCTGAGACTACTGAGACTAATGAAGGGGAAGCTGACAACCAGGGCCAGCCCCTAGGCTGGTAATAAGTAATAAGTCAGGCAGATGAGGGTACCTGGGACTGAGGTTGGTGGGGCAGTGCCCCATTTGTCCTAATGGTCATTTGCCTCCACTGGGTTTAGGTCCAGCTTTCAGATGTCAAATGGCTATGGAAACAGGAATTGCAGGCCCATAAGGACAAAAAGGTAGCTACCCCCAGAAGCCCCCAATACTCTCTTAAACCCAGAGCTTCGGCCCACTGTCCTCCCCCTTATAATCAATCATTCTGAGCCTGCCTTTTTGCAGAGTCTGCACTGCAAGAGTCTTCTTTGCAGCCCAAATTTTTCAAGCAATTTCCCAAAAGGAAACACTTTTGTTTCTCGCTTCTAGATATCACCAGACCATGACCCCATGCCTCAATGATAATGTGTGAATTGGACCATAATTACTATCTTATTCCCTTCTGCCAAAGAGCTCAGGAATTATTATTATTATTATTAGTTGTAGTAGTAGTAGTAGTATTAAATTTATAGCTCGCCCATCTGGTTGGGTTTCCCCAACCACTCTAGGCTGCTTCCAGCACATATAAAAGCATAATAAAACATCAAACATTAAAAACTTCCTCATACAGGGCTGCCTTCAGGTGTCTTCTATAAGTTGGTGGGGGAAAACCCTTTTTTAAAATTGGGGTGTCAAAAGGTTTAACTCATTTTTGTTCCCATATAACAACAGCCCTGCAAGGTAGGCCAGGTTAAGAAATCATAACTGGCTCAGAATCGCTCAGTGAGCTTAAACAATATAACCATGATGCTACCACTGAGCCTGGCTGGGGGTACGGCCTAATTTATTTATTTCATCAAATTTATATAATGTTTGATTGTAAACAAAACTTCAAAGGGGTAGTTATAAAAAGAATAAAAGAAAAATACAGTGGTACCTCTGGTTACGTACTTAATTCGTTCCAGAGGTCCATTCTTAACCTGAAACTGTTCTTAACCTGAAGCACCACTTTAGCTAATGGGGCCTCCTGCTGCCGCCGTGCCGCCAGAGCACGATTTCTGTTCTCATCCTGAAGCAGAGTTCTTAACCCAAGGTACTATTTCTGGGTTAGCGGAGTCTGTAACCTGAAGCGTATGAAACCTGAAGCGTATGTAACCCGAGGTACCACTGTAGCTAAGGACAGCTTTTTGAAACATTAAAAAAAAAATTAAATCCAACAATTGACTGAAAGCACATGTCACTGGATAGGCTTGTCTAAACAGAAATATTTTCAGCAGGTGTTCAAAAGAGTACAGTGAAGGTTCACTGCCTGCTGTCAATATGCAGGGAGTTCCAAAGGGTAGGTTCGGTCACATTAAAAGATTGATTTCTTACAAATGCAGAACAAGTATTATGTGGCACCTGTAACAGTGCCAGTTCCACAAATCAAAGCGGTCTAGTGGGCCTATTTGGGCTAAGGCGATTTCACAGGTAAAATTATCCCGAGCCATTAAGGGCTTAATATACTAATAGTAACACCTTGCACTTGGCATGGTAACAAATCAACAACTGGTGGAGGTTTCTGAGCACAGGTGCTATATGTTGATAAGGTCTCACTCCTGCCAGCAATCGTGCTGCAGCATTCTGCACACCACAGCTCCCGGATCAAGTGCAAGAAGGGAAGCCCCAGGTAGACGCAGGCGCCAGGGTTGGAGGTTCCAACAGGGGTAAGGAAAAATAGGCACGGAATGCATTATCATTCTCCTATCTGCCAATTTCCCCTATATGTGCTTGAAGAAGGTTGTTTTGAAATGTTTTCTTCCCAACTCAGGCTCAGAAATTGGAAGTACGCCTGCCTGCGGCGGGGGCAGCCTTGTGGGGAGGGCATCTGCCAAAGGAAAATCAGTGGGCTCGGGATGGATTAAATATCCCTCTTCCCCACCTGCCGATTCCCTTTCGCAAGTGCACTTCTCTACCTACATTCATGTTATTTTGCTCAGATGTGGGTGGAACACTTGCAACTATATGATTTTGCAGCAGCCTTTGAATTCCCACAGCAATTTTTGTCTGTGGGAAAACATTTCATTTGATCAGAGTCACGGTGCTAGAGCTTTTTTATTCCATCTCTCTCTCCCCCCTCTTTTTTTTTTCTTCCCCAGGCTCTTGAGTTTTCCTTTGATGCCACTAAAATTAAAACTGGAGCGGCAGATAGTACCCACGCTGTTCATTGCAGAGTCAGAGAGGTTAGAATGTGTTTGCTGCTGTTCGACTTTGACTCATCTGTTCTTGCGCTTCCTGCCGCTCTTCATGGGGGTGGCACAGAGATATTAATATCACAGGCATCCAAACACCATCCGAGGCTGGTATAAGAAACTGACTTTCTCAATCTCGCAAAGACAGGTCTTGATTTAAGGCAGGTCTTCAGAAGTTGATGAAATGGGAAGGAAAATGGGAAAGCAAAGCAAAAAGATTTTAGTTACTGATTCACACATATAGAAAGGAGTCCTGCTCATTTTGGAAGAACCTCCTTCAGAATTAGTGGAGGTTCATTTAGCACTATAGTGCCACTTTAAAGAGTCGTGGTTTCCTCCAAATAATTCTGGGAACTGTAGTTTGTTTAGAATCATAGAGTTGGAATGGACCATGAGGGTCATCTAGTCCAACCCCCTGCAATGCAAGAATCTCAACAAAAGCATCCATGACAGATGGCCAACCTCTGCTTAAAAACCTCCAATGAAGGAGAGTTCAACACTTTTTGAGGAAGTCTGTTCCACTGACAAACAGATCCTACTTTCAAAAAGTTCTTCCTGATGTCTAGTCATAATCTCCTTTATTGTAACTTGAACTGGGTCTTAGCCTCCATAGCAGGAAAAAACAAAGTCGTTCCATCTTCCATATGACAACCCTTTAGCTATTTGAAGGTGGCTATCATCTCTTTTCTCAATCTCTTCTTTTCCATGATTCTCTCAAATGTTCTTCATAAGGCTTAGTTTCCAGAACCTTTATTATCTTGGTTGCCCTCCTCTGCACATGTTCCAGCTTGTCTATGTCCTCCTTAAATTATGGTACCCAGAACTGAACACAGCATTCCAGGTCTGGTCTGACCAAGGCAAAATAGGGTGGTACTATTACTTCCCTTGATCTGGACACTATATGTCTGTTGATGCAACCTAGAAGCACATTAGCTTTTTTGCTCCTGTATTACACTGTTGACTCATGCTAAGCTTGTGGTCTACTAAGACCCCTGGGTCCTTTTCACATGTGCTACTGGTAAGCCAGGTACCCCCCATCTTATATTTGTACAGCTGGTTCTTCCTGCCTATGTACAAAACCTTACATTTGTCCCTATCGAAATTCATTTTGTTTGGCCTGGTTCTCCAATCTGCTAAGGTTATATTAAATCCAGATTCCATCTTCTGCAGCATTAGCTACCCCTCCCATCCCATCCTGGTGTCATTTGCAATATTAATGAGCGTCCCCTCAATTCCTTCATCCATGTTGTTCAGAAAGAACAACAGCAAGCCCAGGCAGAACTCTGCGGCTCCCCACTTGTCACTTTTTTTCGGAATGATGAGGAACCATTAGTGAGTACTCTTTGGGTTTGTTCATTTGTTAACCAGCTTCTTCAAACAGCACATAGTTAAACTATGGAATTCATTATCACAGGAGGAAGTGATGGTAATGGTAATCAACTTGCATGACTTTAAAAGAAAATTAGACACATTCATGGAGGGTAAGGCTATCAATGGCCACTAGAGACAATGGTTATGCTCTGCCTCCATGACCAGAGAGGATATGCTTCTGAATATTGGTTGGGCTGGAAAATTCAGAATGGGAGCGTGCTCTTATGCTCATATCCTGGCTGAGTACTTCTCATAAGCATCTGGTTGGCTACTATGAGAGCAGAATGTTGGACTACATGGGCCATTGGCCTGATCCGGCAGGTTCTTCTGATGTTATTATGAAATCACTGCCCTTTAAGTGTCCACTCACAGTTAAAGGTTGGGCCGGTAGTCAATAATTACTTAGCCCAGGAAGACACAAGATTTACCCACCCGGGAAGAATGGCAGATGAAGTTGATGGACTATATGGAATTGGCGGAAATGACTGGCAGAATCCGAGACCAGGGAGAAGAGTCGGTGGAAGAAGACTGGAAAAAATTTAAAGACTATTTACAGAAATATTGTAAAATTAATGAATGTTAGAAAAATGTTGGAATGAAGTTATACGGCTTTAGTAGAAATGTTATAAGGAATTAAGTATAAATAGATTAATAGAGAATTAAAGGGAAAAATAAGGTTAAAATGTGTTAAGATAATTATAGGATAGAAAACAGAGGAAGATGGAAAGGAATTGCTGAAACAATTAACAGAAGTGGAATACAAAAAGGGAGGTGTGAGGAGGTCATTGAAATAAGTGAATGAAAGATAAGATATTGAAACTGTTTGATATGTTTTAAATTGTTTTTGTTTTGTTAGTTTAATGTGTTAGTGTTATGTATTGTTTTTGTATTGTATTGTATTGTTTATTTTTTTGTAGTGTTTAAATTGTTGGAAAAGTAATAAATATTATTTTAAAAATAATAATAATAATTACTTAGCCCAGACTGTAAAAATCTGCCAGTTGCTCCAGGACACTGCTGAGACAACGTATGCTCTGCTTCGGCTGCAGGATCGCTAACCGTGGTCCTGAAACTCACAGCTAGGTTCTCATCCTTCTTTGCCTTGCCTTCTTGTCTACCAGGAATCCTGGGACTACTGACATCTCCATCTTACTTGAGCCATCACCTATTCACAGATCAGTGCAGTCTATGAAATCTGTGAAGTCCCAGCAGCTACATTACCAAGTACTGCAAAACATATCGCTGCTAGCTGGGGAGAATGATTAAGCCACATTTCTACATTTCTCACATTTGCTGGAAGGCAATAGTCTTACTTTTTCAGTGGCAATCTTTCAAGCAATACTTCTTAAATATGCCCATCCCCATCCCCGTTATCAGTCAGCAACGTATTTTGTGCAATGGCCTTAAGGAGAACTGGCAAAAATCTTCTTAACTGAAAAGAGCTAATGTAGCAGAAAAAGAAAAAGAAAAAGTTAAGGAAACCATGATGAAAACTCAAACACAAAATATTTATTATAGCTCACCAAAATATGAGAGCCAACCATAACTACCTAGCAGTGGTCCATGTACAACAAATACAAAAAATAAGCCAAGTAAACTAATAGGGGGATATATACATAATAACAAGTTCATAGGAATTTCTATAAAACCCAAATTTTGACCTGCTAGATCTTCCTCAGATGTACAGTAAACAACAATGTATATCAGAAGTCTCTCTGATTATTATTGCTTTTTATATTCATAAAAATATATTCATATGCACAGAGTGACCCAAAACAACTTACATTAAAATAAATTAAGAACAGCCCAGTAAAAACCTAAAAGAACAACAATACAGATAAAAGGCTTGATGTAAGGATCCCACCCCAATAAAAAAGCCCACCGTGCTCTTAAAGGCCAAAAGCCTGAGTAAGAAGTATTTGCTTAGCATGTAGCAGTAGATTAAGATGATGCTAGGCATGCCTCCCTAGGGAGAGCATTCCGCAAGCAGGGGGCCACCACTGAAAAGGCCCAGTCTCATGTTGTGAATCTCTGAACACTTCCCTACCACAGCCTGGACCACTGCCCTGTGCCACACAACATTTGGAAACACCCTATTAGCAGGGATGCAGTTAGGTAAGTTTAGAACCTGGACTAGACATAGCCAACATGATGCCTTCCAGATGTTGCTGGACTACAACTCCCATCATCCCTGACCTTCAGTTATGCTGACTGGGGCTGATGGGAGTTATAGTCCAGCACCATCTGGAGGGACACAATTTAGCCACCACTGTGTGCAACATCTGAGTAGTACAGTTGCTGGTGCTCCCCACTCACCGCATGGTAACATTTACAGAGAGAGATCACACAAAGTATGAGTCCCACGTTAGGTGAAAGGTTCCTGCATTGCAGGGGGTTGGACGAAACGATCCTCAATGATCCTACTTTACAGTTCTGTGATTCTAAGGGCACAGCTTTATTTACTCATTTGTTTCTTTCCCTCCCACTTGTCTTCATAGCTTACCTTCACCAGTTGGCCCCAGGATGAGTTACAAAAACATCACAATTAAAACAAACACAGAGTCTAATTAAGTCAAAAGAAACAAAACCGCAAAACTGAACCAATAACAAAGTTAACAAAACACAGATACACAGTCACAGAAGGAGGGAAGACTCCTCAAGCTCAATCAAGGCTTTGGTAAAGAACTGGCCAGTTATGATGCATCTGACCAGAAGCTTACAAGGATGCTGCAAGATGCAGGGGAGGCCATTCCACAACTGGGAGGGGGGATGCCACAAAGAATGCCCTTTCATACAACACCACCCCTCGGAACACACCACAGTGGGCATTGGCACTGCCAATAAGTCCTCCTTTGTTTATCATAGCACCTGGATAGATTGCTATGATTGGGCACTCCACTTCAGATATTTGGGACCCAAGTTGTTTAGAGATGTATTTGTCAGTGTTAGCTGATTAAATTAGACTCTGCTGTGGATTGGCAACCAGGTAGGTTTGGGAGCACTCTTTGCCTGAAACCCTGGAGAGCCTCTACCACTTAGTAAACACAATACTGAGCTCAATGATCAATGGTCCAACATGGCATGAAAGTTTCCTGTGTTCCTAAATCGGTCTGTACTGGCATTATGTTGAGTTATGTAGCGGGGGGTTGCTTAGGTTATCTTCCCCGTGCATTAATCAGTTGTGAAATGTGAACTCTCTTTTATTCCGTATTTATACTTCTCTTTCGAGGTAAGGGGGGTGGAATCTATGAACTACCTAACTCTTTGATAGGGAAGCAGATCAAGCAAATGGCAGGATACCAAGCCACCATTTCTTACTGCTACCGCACCTCATTTTACGAGACTTATCAAGGTTTCACAGCTGGAATTGGCTTGTGATATCAGTTATAGTTCTCAATGTGGGGTAAAATTTGGATAAAAAGAAATTAACAGTGTTGTGCTATCATTAAAGGGAACATTTGAATAAGGAAATTAATAAGCAGCTGTTTGGACTGAGTCTCTGGTTCTTTGATCTAAGTTACCGTGTTGGAAGCAAATATTCACTTTCCCATTTTCCTTTGGATTTATAGGTGTCAAAACTATGGCACATAGAAGATCATGGTAAGACCACATTTTGAGAACATAAGAGCCCTGCTGGATCAGGCTACTGGCCCACCTGGGCCAGCATCCTTTTCTCACGGTGGCCAAGCACAAGGGTCAAGCACAAGAACACTCTT